TAAATTAGGGTCCCTTTCAGGGTTCTTATATATATATATATGTATGTATAAGCGTGCCGTACTTTTTGCGACACAACATTTTCGAACTACAAATGTACTGGCAGCAGAGTAGGCCCCAATCCGTTGCTCCAGTGTGCAGGGTCTTATAGTAAACCCTAAACCCTAAACCCTAAACCCTAAACCCTAAACCCTAAACCCTAAACCCTAAACCCTAAACCCTAAACCCTAAACCCTAAACCCTAAACCTAAAGTCTTGCAAGGTGGGGAGACTTCGGTTCCAGGGTTTAGGGTTCCTTTTGGGGTTGAGGGTTTTGGGTTCCCATGCGGGTTTACTAAGTTTACTGGGGGATCTAGTAAGTCGGCAGTGTACTTAGAATACTTACAAGCCGAAAACTAGCTACTTACTATCCCGGTCCTCCAAAATATGGCTTATGAGTATAGGTTTGGAGTGCGGGAATTCCTGCTCCGGGGCCTAGCTCCCCCAAACGCTGAAACCCTCCTAAACACGAAAAACCACATAACGCCCTGCAAAACTGAATTGAACCCCGCAAAAACCCTGATAAACAGAGACCTACAAACCCTCAGAAGAGCCAAGCTGTTGATGTTTTCTAGGGCCTAAACCCTAAACCCTGAAGCTCTGTCTTCGACCTCTAGGTTCTTTACAGTGTTTGGGGGGGTCTGAAAAGTAAGGCTCTAAAGTGGCCAGGGTTCTGGATTCCGGGTTCATTTGGAGGGTCGGTGGACTTAGTAAGCAGGTAATACGGTTGATGATATAAACCCGCATTACCCATAACAAGGAATATATCATAAGTCCCATAGTTTAGGGTCCTAAAGGTGATGCAGGATTTATAGCATCAACTGAGAAGGGATCCCAATTGGGGTACTCGTACCTAGAAGTCTCTAGAACAATTACTTAAAGAATCCCCCGAACCTCCAAATAGGGCTTCTGGAAGCTACGCCTCATGAAAGATTCTTCCGACGTTTTAGGTTTTGGGTTGATGGGCTTTAAGGTTTGAGGGTCTTTGGTGGTTTTCGGGGTTAGGCTTTGGGGTTCATAAGCTTCAGATTTCAATTCCTAGGATTTAATTTAGTGAAGACTCCAGGAAATTTTAAGTACATGGGGACTCAACTGACGACTATTACAAAACAACTCCGACCTTTTCGTTATACTTCCCTAAACCCTAAGCCCGAAATCGCTATTTCGGCCCCTGAAAGTGGCCAGAGCTCACAAGACCAGAAAACCCTAATTTAATGGCTTTCATAATTCGAGCAGGGTCCCTTTAAATAAAGGCTACTATAAGGGTACACTAGAGGGGCCTGAA